GTAAACACTTTGTCAAGGTTTCATCGTATATGCTTTGTCAAACATAAACGTAAACACTTTGTCAAAACTTCATCGAAACTAAACATAAATGCTTTGTCATGATTTCATCGAAACTAAACGTAAATGATTTGTCATGATTTCATCGTAAATGCTTTGTCATGATTTCATCGTAAATGCTTTGTCATGACTTCATCGTAAATGATTTGTCAAAACTTCATCGTAAATGCTTCATCGTAAATGATTTGTCATGATTTCTTCGTAAATGCTTTGTCAAGGTTTCATCGAATTTAAACGTAAATGCTTTGTCAAGACTTCATCGTAAACACTTTGTCAAGGTTTCATCGTATATGCTTTGTCATGATTTCATCGAATTTCATCGTAAATGCTTTGTCAAGACTTCTTTGTCAATGATTTGTCAAAACTTCATCGTCAAGACTTTGTCATGATTTCTTCATCGTACATGATTTGTCGAAACTTCATCGTATATGTTTTGTCATGACTTCTTCATCGTAAACACTTTGTCAAGGTTTCATCGTATATGCTTTGTCAAACATAAACGTAAACACTTTGTCAAAACTTCATCGAAACTAAACATAAATGCTTTGTCATGATTTCATCGAAACTAAACGTAAATGATTTGTCATGATTTCATCGTAAATGCTTTGTCATGACTTCTTCGTAATGAGTGTAAATGACCCAAAAATAATGTTTAGGTGAAGAGGTGAGATCTCACCCGTTTTTCACCTGTTTTTTCACCCTCATGTTTTATCATGATTTCATCGTAAATGATTTGTCAAGACTTCTTCGTAAATGATTTGTCAAAACTTCATCGTAAATGCTTTGTCAAGGTTTCATCGTAATGAGTGTAAATGACCCAAAAATAATGTTTAGGGTAGATGGTTAGATATAACCCAATAACTACCCTCATTTCATTCTATACACAATTTACATCATAGACGATTTAATAGATAAAATATATTTTATGTCTGTAATTAATTAGTTAATAATGTAGCGGATGAACTGCAGAAATATATTTTATCGTTAATGTTTTCGTAAATATTTTTAGGATACTTTCACCAAATAATGTTTATATCAGATGAAACAGTAAAGTATTTTATCTATTAAATCGTCTATGATGTAAATTGTGTATAGAATGAAATGAGGGTAGTTATTGGGTTATATCTAACCATCTACCCTAAACATTATTTTTGGGTCATTTACACTCATTACGATGAAACCTTGACAAAGCATTTACGATGAAGTTTTGACAAATCATTTACGAAGAAGTCTTGACAAATCATTTACGATGAAATCATGATAAAACATGAGGGTGAAAAAACAGGTGAAAAAACGGGTGAGATCTCACCTCTTCACCTAAACATTATTTTTGGGTCATTTACACTCATTACGAAGAAGTCATGACAAAGCATTTACGATGAAATCATGACAAATCATTTACGTTTAGTTTCGATGAAATCATGACAAAGCATTTATGTTTAGTTTCGATGAAGTTTTGACAAAGTGTTTACGTTTATGTTTGACAAAGCATATACGATGAAACCTTGACAAAGTGTTTACGATGAAGAAGTCATGACAAAACATATACGATGAAGTTTCGACAAATCATGTACGATGAAGAAATCATGACAAAGTCTTGACGATGAAGTTTTGACAAATCATTGACGAAGAAGTCTTGACAAAGCATTTACGATGAAATTCGATGAAATCATGACAAAGCATATACGATGAAACCTTGACAAAGTGTTTACGATGAAGTCTTGACAAAGCATTTACGTTTAAATTCGATGAAACTTTGACAAAGCATTTACGAAGAAATCATGACAAATCATTTACGATGAAGCATTTACGATGAAGTTTTGACAAATCATTTACGATGAAATCTTGACAAAACATATACGATGCAGTTTGACAAAACATTGACGATGAAACCTTGACAAAGCATTTACGTTCATTACGATGAAATCATGACAAAACATTTACGATGAGGTCATGACAAAACATTTACGATGAGGTCATGACAAAACATTTATGTTATACAGTAATGTTAGTCATGAATGTTTGTCCTACGTGTTGGCGTTAGTGTTGAAAAATAATGTTTGTCCTACATGAAGCCGTACAAGCGTTTGAATTTGTTTATGCATAAGATTACACTCTTGTTTTCTGTATCTATCATAGAAACATAAGCAGCACCTGTTTTTGTAAAGTTTATATGAAGTTTTCGATAGTTAGGACCTGTATAATAATAGAATGCGTCCTCATTCTCAACATAGTAGTAGAACTCAAACGAATGCTTACCATAATCTGTTATTTCAACAGCTTCGTCAGATATTTCATCAACGAACTCATAAACTATATCGCCATACTTGCTTTTATTTCTATTGTTTTCAGATTTAGAACACCAACGAAGGTTTGAGATTCTGTTGTCCGTTCTATCATGATTTATATGGTCTATTTCTTTCAAATTGTTTGGATTTTCAATCCACTGTTCTGCAATAATTCTATGCTTTAAATGTATTTTGTTGTTTAAACTAAGCACAATATAACCATAATTATTTAAGCATTCACTCATAATATGTTTGTCTTTCTTTCGACGAATAGTAAAAGGATATGTCGTACAAATCTCATAATCTTCATGATTTCTCAATGTTTCCCATTGAGTTTGTTCCCCACTAACGTTCTCATTGACGTCCTCAATATCTTCTTCCTCACTGAACTCGTCAATATTTTCACTAGCTCCTTCTGTAATGTTTTCATCGGCATTGTCATTGACTTCTTCTGTAATGTTAGATGTTGTTGTTTCGCTCATGTTCTTTCACTAATGTTAAAAAGTTATGTTGTACGAATTTTGAACAGAATTTAGAGCAGTTATGAAACAATGAAGTATTTTTAAGCTATTGAAAGGAACTATGAGAGTGAAGTACATGACAGCAATGACAAAAGGAACTAATATCAAACCTAATGAAATCGCTCACGAGGACATAGAGTTTAACAAGTACTTTGTGGAGTATCTTATAAGTGAAGAGTATGTAAGACCTTACTTCATGTTTGACAGCATGAATGAGGATGTTATTTCATGGTTAAAGAATATAAGCAATGTTTTCGGTAAGTACGTCATAGATGACAAAGGTCTTGTTGTATTTTATGAGACAGCAATACGAACACAGGAACTAATGGATATTATGCACTCAACAGCAAAGAAAGGATTTAGTACTATTGGCATGAATGAACATTGCAGGAATGACATATACAACCTATGCTCACGAAAGCCTTACACAAAAGCAATACAAATGATAGAACATAAGCGACTAAGGTCAGCAAATGAAATCATTACTGTCAGTGGTTATGAAAGAACTGTTAGCAAAGATGAGTGGAAACAGCTATTCATATTAAGGAAGGACGTTGCTGAACTAGTTAAACCTGTTGCACAAACATTGTTTCAGATAAGACCAGCAATGACTAAGAACCCTTTGACCTTACTCAATGAGACCATAGAGGTTGAAGATAATGACATGAAAGAACTAGGAATGAATGAGAAAGTTGTGAAGGATGTTTGAGTCAAAACACATGGTTCTTCAGAGCTGTTAAGAAACTTAGTAAAGAACGACAGAAATATTTTAGAGAAGTATTGCAAAGGATGTGTAAATGAATTGCTTGAAATAGAACTTAGAGACACTTTCACACTAAAGGACTTGAGAAGAAATAATACATGAGTGAAGAAGGTATTGACATAGTTAGTGTTATAAATGACTTAAGAAGATGTGTTGTCGTTATTGACGGAGCACGTATGACATATCTAGTGAAAGATTATGATGGAATACGAGACACAACAACACTTGTGTCAGTAGATAGCAAGGAATTCAATAAGCTCATGAAGAGTGTTTATGTAGGACGTATTGAGGAGAAGGATGTGAACGCACTGATGATTTATGAAGCGGGTCAGAACAAGAACTATCTTATGAAGTCAGGCATGAGATTCTTTGACGAAAGAGATGACATTTACAGCTATTTCAGAGATATGAGTATGAGGTACTGAATGAAGTAGATGAGAACGTTATGAAGGATATTTGAAACATGTTCATGAGTTCATATGTAATGAGGATGAAGAGCTTTATGAGTATGTTTTGAACTGGTTCGCCTACATCGTTCAAAATCCTTGTGGAAAGACTGGAACAGTACTTTTGTTAATAGGAAAGCAAGGAACTGGTAAGAATGTACTTAGTAATGTTCTATGCGAGCTCATTAGCAAGTACGCCAACAATAATATAACGGCAATAGAGAATGTGGTTGGTAGATTCAATGCTGCTATTGAGAACATGAAGCTCATCGTATGCAATGAACTAAGCTCATGCGATACGTCTAAGGTCATGAACCACGACGCACTAAAGTCAATAGTAACAGAGACTCAGTTGGACTTAAATCAGAAGTGTCAGCCAGTAAGAAAGATAGAGAATGTTTGTAATATCATCATGATATCTAACAACTTCAACTCAGTAAAGATTGACAAAGACGACAGAAGATTTGTTGTCATTGACGTAAGCAGCAGATACAAAGGAAATTACGAATATTTCTCAAATCTCATTGAAAGCTTTAATGAAGAGTTTTATTCAAACTTACTGACGTACTTCATGAAGAAAGATTTAAGTGAATTTGATGTAAGGAAGATACCATTCACCAGGGCTAAACAAGAACTCATCGAAATGAACAAAACACCTTACCAAATGTTTTACGAGGAGTTTTATGAAAAGTTTGTATCCGGATGGAATTGTACAGAGTGCTACAGAAGATATAAAGAATTTGCGAAGGAAAATGAATTCTTTGCATGTAGTTCAAATGTATTTGGTGGCAAGATGAGAGAATTTGTGAAGAGAAGTAGAAAGCGAGACGGTTCTGCAAGAAGTTATATTTACGAAGCAAGTATGATCTTAGAAGGTCGTGGAAAGAAAGAAACAGTGAATTATGAGGAAGTGCTTGAAAAATTCATGGAGTACATGGGAAGCAATATAACATACAACAAAGACATATACAGTGAGTTTAAGTACTACTGTGAACAGCATGAGATTGAAGTAATGAGTAAAGGAGACTTTGAAACGCTTATGAAAGACAGTAAGGAGGTCATACATGAGAACAGTGATGAAATAGTTCATGAGAACAGTGTTGAAATAGTTCATGAGAACAGTGATGAAATAGTTCATGAGAACAGTGTTGAAATAGTTCATGAGAACAGTGATGAAATAGTTCATGAGAACAGTGAGGAGGTCATACATGAGAACAGTGTTGAAATAGTTCATGAGAACAGTGTTGAAATAGTTCATGAGAACAGTGATGAAATAGTTCATGAGAACAGTGTTGAAATAGTTCATGAGAACAGTGATGAAATAGTTCATGAGAACAGTGAGGAGGTCATACATGAGAACAGTGTTGAAATAGTTCATGATGTCGTTCGTGAAGAAGCCATTGCAACAAAGAATGAGATAAAGGATTTCATAGAACTTAACAAGGAGGAGTTTAAAGAAGGCTATGAGGTGAAAAGATGTGAAGAAGATTTCTTGGCGTATTTGAAGAAAAAGAGACTAAAGCCAATGGCTCAAAATAAGTTTCAATCGATGTTTGAAAAGAAACGTTTGAGCTATGGTGGTGTAAGAAGCACATATTACTTTGTTAAGAAGTGAGGACATTTATTTTTGTCGTTAGTGTTGGAGTTTGTGTTTGTTGTTAGCGTTTGTCATTTGTGCTGAGGTTAGTACTTGATGTTAGTGTTGGAGTTTGTGTTTGTTGTTAGTGTTTGTCATTTGTGCTGAGGTTAGTACTTGATGTTAGTGTTGGAGTTTGTGTTGTTGTTAGTGAGAGAATAAATTAAATCATGAACTTTGCCATGGTCTCTGTCCCTATAGTTTTCATTAAGTTCTGGAAATAATGAAAGTCATAAACTTTGCCATGGTCTCTGTCCCTAGTAGTTTTCATTATCTCACAGAGTTAATGAAAGTCATACTTTATCAGATGAAGCATGCAGATGAACATAATGAAAGTTAGTGGGTTTGCCACGAGTTTATGAATAAAATATTGCATATTAGATGAGATAGCTGATGAACAGATGAAGATAAATTAAATCTTGGACTTTGCCACACTCTGTCCCTAGTTCCTCAAATCCTTGACAACGTTGCTTAGAATTTTTGGTTCAAAACCTCATCTGATTTTAATCTGTTATGCTACCTGTTAAGTTTCGCGAGATTATAAATGTCATGGAGTTAATAAAAGGAGAGACAGCTAGGGACACTGGAAGTACTTGTAAGGCTATCTGTTAAGATTGCATGAAATACTAAAAAGTCATGAAATCCATTATCGCTGTGCTAGCTTCACCTTTGATTAAATGACAAATAAAGTCACTGAAGCAATGAAACAAAAGTTTTTGGTAGAATACATTAAATCAGGAACTATTCCAGAAGGTTTTTACATTCATACTATGAAGGATGGTAGAGTTCAGTTTAGAAAGATAAAGCAACCATTAGATAAAGAAGGAATTTTGAGAAAGATTAAACTTCATGAGGACAACATTGCTGAACTTAAGAAGAAGTTAGAAGAGTTGGAAAGGAAGAGAGTTATAAAGCAATGAATTCAACAGGGTGAAAAAACAGGTGAAAAAAAGAGGTGAGATCTCACCATTTCACCTAAATTTATTTTTGTGCTATGTTTTCATACGTGTGGGTGGTGATATCATTTATTTTTTATTTTATTTTTTAAAATTATTTTTATTTATTTGGATGTAATGACAGAACAACAGCAACTCATACAAATCAAAACATATAACAAACATACATTTAAACATTTATTCTTCCTTCCTGAGCATAACATGTTCTTTCAAATACATCCGAGACCAGTTGACTTTTCATTGACTGTTTATAAAGATAGAAATAGTTATATCATTAAACCATACGATGACGAAGGTAAGTTATGTAAATTATACGTTAAGAAGTTAGAGAAAGTTTATGGCTTCAAGTATGACTACAATAGGGTTAACACTGATGATGAAGATATTGAGGAAAATTTATGAGAACATTAGTGAAGTTGTTAGTGAGAACGATAGTGAGAACGTTTATTTTTTACATTAGTGAGTTCGTTAGTGAGGTGAAATTGTTGGCGGCTTTGTAAATATTTAAGGTTAAGTTAGTTTTTGCGTTCATGTTGTAAAATATACGTTAACGGTTTTGTAAAGTGTCAAATTCACAAGTATTGGGTAAGGTGGAACGCAGTGCCACCATACCCAAGACTTGTATACTAACTAACTTCATTGTGGCATAAAGGCTTATATCTAGGCTCGCAATAAGCCTGGCAATGATCTCTTCTAACGAAGGATCATTACCAGAGCCAACTGCTTGCTGAGTATTCTCAACTTGGTGCTCAGCAGGAACGTAGTTGGGCATTGGGAGTAAAAATTTGCACTTATGATCTTTAAAATCATTTTTCCTGCTTTTTTAATGCATCGCACGAACTGCCCTTGAACTAATGTTTCACTACATTCGGCACAGTATGTAAAGAGCCTTCCTTTGTCTGATTGATTAGGCTCATTCTCATAATAGCTGATCGTAGTGAAACATTTTTTTCCACACTTTGTTTCCAATTTTTCAGGAGTTGGTGGATATTTCGTCTTCTTAAATGGAATCCACTCATCATATACATGAGGATCCCATGCAGTCATAATAAAAATAAAGCTTTTTAATATATCAATTTTTAAATGATATTTTCACGGGTTAAATATAAAATAAAGAATAAGATGTAAATTATTAAAATATTTAATTTTAAATTTTGAACCCGTGATAAATATTTTTTGCATTGTTATTAATAATGAAAAATAAAGCTTATTTCAATGAAAATTTTCTGCAAATTTATTTCACTTTTGACCTCACTTTTTCCGTAATTCAATTTTTTACTTTAATATTTTAGATCTTCATAATATCATTTGAAAAATTAACCATATAAAAAAATCAAGTTATCAATTCACTTTTTCCGTAATTCAAAAATCAAAAATATAAATAATATATCTTTTTATCAAATATTATTATTATATTATATGAAAAAATGAGGTCCGGAAAATTTTGCGGATTCCCGTAACTCAATTTTACGGAAAAAGTGCAGTAAACTATTCAAAATACGGAAAATTGGTGTAAACTAATGATTTTACGGTAAAATCACGGAAGTCCGGAAGAATATATGTGCCTATATGAAATTATACAAAAATGAATCAAACGCATTTTAAAGATTTTCTTGTATTATAAATGCTATTCGCAGATTTATTAGTTGAAGAAAATTACCAAATTTGCCGATTTACAAAAAATGATTTACAAAGCATTTTTTATAAGGCTTAAAAAATCTTTAAAATGTCACCGGTGACGGAAATCCATGGTAACCAACCGCGGTTCCCGTTTGGAATGCCATAAACTTCATTAAAAGATCAAATCAATATTAAGAAATCTTTTAAATAATTCTTTTTTTTATAACTTGAATTTTTCAAAAGACAAAACATTTTATAGAGTTTCTCTTTCAATTTTCCCCGATTTCCGATTATCCAATTGCATTTTTGTCTTATGATATAGGAATTTCCTTATTCTAACCAAATCTTGCGGGTCGTTATCGATTTTGTAATTTAATCGTTATCGTTATCGATTTTGTAATTTAATCGTTATCGTCTTTTTCTAAACGTGCATTTTGGAACTAAATCGCTTCGAAAGGATTGTTCGTCACACACTATTCACACTACCATTACCACTCTCAATTTCCTCCAGCGGAGGGAGTCTCGCTTATGAAAAATTTTCATTTTTTAATAAAAAATATAAAATTATAAAATATCTCAACATATAAGAGTTTTAGCAGGGACAAACATAGGTGTAGAGTGTAGTATTGGTGCAGGGCAATAGCCCTGCACCGCGCAAAAAGGAAAAAGAAGCAAGCACCGCACGTTCCCGGGAAGTCGCCCAGCCCAGTACTGATGTGGCCCGCGACTGCTTAATTTCCAGGTTCGGAGTGGAGCTGGATGTTGCCAGCCGGGTGTGGCCGCTTCGAAAGGATTGTTCGTCACACACTATTCACACTACCATTACCACTCTCAATTTCCTCCAGCGGAGGGAGTCTCGCTTATGAAAAATTTTCATTTTTTAATAAAAAATATAAAATTATAAAATATCTCAACATATAAGAGTTTTAGCAGGGACAAACATAGGTGTAGAGTGTAGTATTGGTGCAGGGCAATAGCCCTGCACCGCGCAAAAAGGAAAAAGAAGCAAGCACCGCACGTTCCCGGGAAGTCGCCCAGCCCAGTACTGATGTGGCCCGCGACTGCTTAATTTCCAGGTTCGGAGTGGAGCTGGATGTTGCCAGCCGGGTGTGGCCGCTTCGAAAGGATTGTTCGTCACACACTATTCACACTACCATTACCACTCTCAATTTCCTCCAGCGGAGGGAGTCTCGCTTATGAAAAATTTTCATTTTTTAATAAAAAATATAAAATTATAAAATATCTCAACATATAAGAGTTTTAGCAGGGACAAACATAGGTGTAGAGTGTAGTATTGGTGCAGGGCAATAGCCCTGCACCGCGCAAAAAGGAAAAAGAAGCAAGCACCGCACGTTCCCGGGAAGTCGCCCAGCCCAGTACTGATGTGGCCCGCGACTGCTTAATTTCCAGGTTCGGAGTGGAGCTGGATGTTGCCAGCCGGGTGTGGCCGCTTCGAAAGGATTGTTCGTCACACACTATTCACACTACCATTACCACTCTCAATTTCCTCCAGCGGAGGGAGTCTCGCTTATGAAAAATTTTCATTTTTTAATAAAAAATATAAAATTATAAAATATCTCAACATATAAGAGTTTTAGCAGGGACAAACATAGGTGTAGAGTGTAGTATTGGTGCAGGGCAATAGCCCTGCACCGCGCAAAAAGGAAAAAGAAGCAAGCACCGCACGTTCCCGGGAAGTCGCCCAGCCCAGTACTGATGTGGCCCGCGACTGCTTAATTTCCAGGTTCGGAGTGGAGCTGGATGTTGCCAGCCGGGTGTGGCCGCTTCGAAAGGATTGTTCGTCACACACTATTCACACTACCATTACCACTCTCAATTTCCTCCAGCGGAGGGAGTCTCGCTTATGAAAAATTTTCATTTTTTAATAAAAAATATAAAATTATAAAATATCTCAACATATAAGAGTTTTAGCAGGGACAAACATAGGTGTAGAGTGTAGTATTGGTGCAGGGCAATAGCCCTGCACCGCGCAAAAAGGAAAAAGAAGCAAGCACCGCACGTTCCCGGGAAGTCGCCCAGCCCAGTACTGATGTGGCCCGCGACTGCTTAATTTCCAGGTTCGGAGTGGAGCTGGATGTTGCCAGCCGGGTGTGGCCGCTTCGAAAGGATTGTTCGTCACACACTATTCACACTACCATTACCACTCTCAATTTCCTCCAGCGGAGGGAGTCTCGCTTATGAAAAATTTTCATTTTTTAATAAAAAATATAAAATTATAAAATATCTCAACATATAAGAGTTTTAGCAGGGACAAACATAGGTGTAGAGTGTAGTATTGGTGCAGGGCAATAGCCCTGCACCGCGCAAAAAGGAAAAAGAAGCAAGCACCGCACGTTCCCGGGAAGTCGCCCAGCCCAGTACTGATGTGGCCCGCGACTGCTTAATTTCCAGGTTCGGAGTGGAGCTGGATGTTGCCAGCCGGGTGTGGCCGCTTCGAAAGGATTGTTCGTCACACACTATTCACACTACCATTACCACTCTCAATTTCCTCCAGCGGAGGGAGTCTCGCTTATGAAAAATTTTCATTTTTTAATAAAAAATATAAAATTATAAAATATCTCAACATATAAGAGTTTTAGCAGGGACAAACATAGGTGTAGAGTGTAGTATTGGTGCAGGGCAATAGCCCTGCACCGCGCAAAAAGGAAAAAGAAGCAAGCACCGCACGTTCCCGGGAAGTCGCCCAGCCCAGTACTGATGTGGCCCGCGACTGCTTAATTTCCAGGTTCGGAGTGGAGCTGGATGTTGCCAGCCGGGTGTGGCCGCTTCGAAAGGATTGTTCGTCACACACTATTCACACTACCATTACCACTCTCAATTTCCTCCAGCGGAGGGAGTCTCGCTTATGAAAAATTTTCATTTTTTAATAAAAAATATAAAATTATAAAATATCTCAACATATAAGAGTTTTAGCAGGGACAAACATAGGTGTAGAGTGTAGTATTGGTGCAGGGCAATAGCCCTGCACCGCGCAAAAAGGAAAAGAAGCAAGCACCGCACGTTCCCGGGAAGTCGCCAGCCCAGTACTGATGTGGCCCGCGACTGCTTAATTTCCAGGTTTCGGAGTGGGAGCTGGATGTTGCAAGCCGGGTGTGGCCGCTTCGAAAAGGATTGTTCGTCACACACTATTCACACTACATTACACTCTCAATTTCCTCCAGCGGAGGGAGTCTCGCTTATGAAAAATTTTCATTTTTTAATAAAAAATATAAAATTATAAAATATCTCAACATATAAGAGTTTTAGCAGGGACAAACATAGGTGTAGAGTGTAGTATTGGTGCAGGGCAATAGCCCTGCACCGCGCAAAAAGGAAAAAGAAGCAAGCACCGCACGTTCCCGGGAAGTCGCCGCAGCCCCAGTACTGATGTTGGCCCGCGACTGCTTAATTTCCAGGTTCGGAGTGGAGCTGATGTTGCCAGCCGGGTGTGGCCGCTTCGAAAGGATTGTTCGTCACACACTATTCACACTACCATTACCACTCTCAATTTCCTCCAGCGGAGGGAGTCTGCTTTATGAAAAATTTTCATTTTTTAATAAAAAATATAAATTATAAAATATCTCAACATATAAGAGTTTTAGCAGGGACAAACATAGTTGTAGAGTGTAGTATTGGTGCAGGGCGGCAATAGCCCTGCACGCGCGCAAAAAGAAAAAGAAGCAAGCACCGCACGTTCCCGGGAAGTCGCCCAGCCCAGTACTGATGTGGCCCGCGACTGCTTAATTTCCAGGTTCGGAGTGGAGCTGGATTTTTGCCAGCCGGGTGTGGCCGCTTCGAAAGGATTGTTCGTACAACACTATTCACACTACCATTACCATCTTCATTTCCTCCAGCGGAGGGAGTTCTCGCTTATGAAAAATTTTCATTTTTTAATAAAAAATATAAATTATTATAAAATATCTCAACATATAAGAGTTTTAGCAGGGACAAACATAGGTTGTAGAGTGTAGTATTGGTGCAGGGCAATAGCCCTGCACGCGCAAAAGGAAAAAGAAGCAAGCACCGCACGTTCCCGGGAAGTCGCCCAGCCCAGTACTGATGTGGCCCGCGACTTGCTTAATTTCCAGGTTCGGAGTGGAGCTGGATGTTGCCAGCCGGGTGTGGCCGCTTCGAAAGGATTGTTCGTCACACAACTTATTCACACTACCATTACACTCTCAATTTCCTCCAGCGAGGGAGTCTCGCTTATGAAAAATTTTCATTTTTTAAATAAAAAATATAAAATTTTATAAAATATCTCAACATATAAGAGTTTTAGCAGGGACAAACATAGGTGTAGAGTGGTAGTATTGGTGCAGGGCAATAGCCCTGCACGCGCGCAAAAAGGAAAAAGAAGCAAGCACCGCACGTCTCCGGGAAGTCGCCCAGCCCAGTACTGATGTGGCCCGCGACTGCTTAATTTCCAGGTTCGGAGTGGAGCTGGATGTTGCCAGCCGGGTGTGGCCGCTTCGAAAGGATTGTTCGTCACACACTATTCACACTACCATTACCACTTCTCAATTTCCTCCAGCGGAGGAGTCTCGCTTATGAAAAATTTTCATTTTTTAATAAAAAATATAAAATTTATAAAATATCTCAACATATAAGAGTTTTAGCAGGGACAACCATAGGTGTAGAGTGTAGTATTGGTGCAGGGCAATAGCCCTGCACCGCGCAAAAAGGAAAAAGTAAGCAGCACCGCACGTTCCCGGGAAGTCGCCCAGCCCAGTACTGATGTGGCCGCGCTGACCTTAATTTCCAGGTTCGGATTGGAGCTGGATGTTGCCAGCCGGTGTGGCCGCTTCGAAAGGATTGTTCGTCACACACTATTCACACTACATTACCCTCTCAATTTTCCTCCAGCGGAGGGAGTCTCTGCTATTGAAAATTTTCATTTTTTAATAAAATATAATTAAAATTATAAAATTATCTTCAACATATAAGAGTTTTAGCAGGGAAACAAACAATTAGGTTGTAGAGTGTGTAGTATTTGGTGCGAGGGCAATAGCCCTGCACCGCGCAAAAAGGAAAAGAAAGCAAGCACCGCAACGTTCCCGGGAAGTCGCCCAAGCCGTACTGGATGTGGCCCGCGACTGCTTAATTGTCCAGGTTCGGGAGTGAGGGCTGGGGATGTTTGCCAAGCGCGGGTGGTGGGCCGGGGGTTCGAAGAGGGGATTGT